ATAATTGCAGCAGGAAAAACAAGGTATTGATCCACATGCAGAATTACACACACCCCTATGCCCAGGTGTCCAGACCACCCAACGTCCTCCCGCCCCCTGAGAACGCAGCACACACGAGGTGAGCGTCCCACACCACCACACACTCCACAAGCACACAGCACGCTGATCAGCATCAGCCAGGCTTCTAGGCTCTATGGCAACAGATGATAAATAAAGGAGTAAGAATAATGTGTCCCTGCAACACAGCCCCATGAGCGCACCACACAACACCCACACGCAGATTAGCTAGGTGCATTATGAGCTTTTCCCTCCCCACTTGCCTCTGACACCCCACAGTGCCAGAGACTGATGCAGGAAAGTGAACTATGGCCTGGGCCAGTATTAAGGGAGATTCCATCTGCCCTAGCACGACATTCACTGTGGGGCACATGCAGGTGAGCCCAGCTCATCAGGTGTGGGTGCATCATGCACAGCACCCCCCTGCCTCCAACATTCACAGCCCCCAGGGCCTGTGCTTAGGGGCATGATTCTCACACCACAAAACACAGTCCCACTGACTTGAACACGGGATCCTGTAGCCAGAGAACATGCCCTGGGACCGCCTGGCCTGCAGAGCTGACACCCAACTAGTGCCCCAGCCGCCCCACATTAAAGGCTGCTGCCTAGGTCCCCACAAACAGGACTCTGGTGCGCCCACAGCTGCAGCAGGCTGTCTCTGCAGGCTGGGGGCTCTAGAACACGTGGTGGGAGAAAGCTGGATGCCCCCCAAGGTGGTGGGTGCTATGTTCCAGCCCTAGGAGAGGGCCCCAAAACATGGTTTGATCCATGTCTCCCATGCCCACAGATCCACGCCACAGTCGCGCACCTGCACCCACACCCGACCCACTAGGGCTCACAGGGGCAGGAGGCAGCAGCTTCCACCCAGGACCTCAAAGCATTTCCCAAAGGCAGGTGAGGAGCATCACTCCCAACTCACAAATGGGGAAGTGGCCACTCGCTCGGCGGGGGCAGCTCAAAGCCAGATACACACAGAACCCGGCCCCCCCCCCGCTCTAAC